TTTCTTTATCATTTTATACAGGGTATTTGATGATGCAGCATATTGTGAATGTACTTTCTTGAACATTTTTGACAGCATTAATCTATTTTATGAATGATTTATAATTAAGAAGAAAATATCTTGAAAACAATATCCTTATAGCTCATATGAATTATAATAAGATGATTATTATGATCTTGAATTTTTTGATTAAATGAAATGTTATTAACCTTCATTCAAAATATTAAGAAACAGGAAAATTTAATTAGAAGAAAAGAAAAGAGTACTGAACTGTTATGTAATACCAGTCCTTCTATATAACAAGGAATGCTGAACCATCTCAGAGTTAGGGACATGGCCAATAGAAGCCAAAGAAGATAAAGCATTTTTATCATCCTGTCTGAAAATTTGCTATTTTTGTAAACCTGTACTAAAATATTTGGGGGCTATTTTATTTATTCCACTGTATTTTTAATTGATTGTATTATCACGTCCAATATGTCTATGTTATGGAATTGAATCATTCAGCTGATGTACTTGGGATAACCTTTTAAGCAAATAAGTGGATACTCAGGTTGGGTACCAAGTAAGGTACTAGATTCATGGCTGGTGGATGATATCAGCTTGATTTTGAAATTTCAGTAAATATCCAGATACTAAAAAAAATGTGTGTACTAATATTGTTTCACTTATTTTGACTAAGTACAAGTGTATCAATTTCCTGATGCCTACTTAAATTTTATTATTCTCATGAAGTTCTTGGATCAGGGGAGTCACTTCAAAAGTACCTTGCATGATGCTGGAGTGGTGGGTCTTTTTTTTTTTTAATCTTGTTTACCTTTTCACAAAAGTATAAAGACTGCTTTCATTCAAGTAATTTTTGGTGTCTTTTGTAACAGCTGGAGAAAATGCTGTATTTGTATTTCAAAAAGAAAAATTGAGTATTGCTACCATATCTAGACTGGAACTATCCAGTTCTCACTTGCCTGTCTTGATAGAGTTCAAAACCCATTTCTCACAGATGAAACAATGTGAGCCTCTTGTTACTCTACCGCTATTTCCATGGCATGTGTTCTGATGAGCTATATTTCTTTGTCCCTTCACCACTGACCTTTACAACTGGGACCCACCATCCTACATACAGAGGGGTGAATCATGTCCATTTCCTTCATATTCTATTAGTAGGAAGTAAGTTCCATTTGGGCAGCTTTTTCCCAAGATCTGGTGCTTTGTGGAACAAACTCCTAGCAGAATATTTTCCTAATCACCACAGTCGTCTTGACCTCTTCAATTTTAAATACAAATGTCTACGCTTGTTAGTTAATAATGTTTTGCATGCATAGTTTTAAAAAAGTATGTTAATAACAAAAAATACAAAATGTTTAAAAAATAAAATATCTATGTAATAATTATCATCAATATCTAATTCATTTGACACATGATTTATATTTGGTTACAGAATTAATGCATTGGTTTCATTTTAAATTAAATTGATGTCAGCATTTAGTTAGTATCGACCAATGACAAATTCCTTTACTGTCATAACTGATGGGTTGATTTTGTGCAATGTATCACTTTTCATGGGGGCATACAAACGGGAAAATTACTGCACCTCAACATCCTCCAAACTATTAGTAATAATAGTTATTTACTTATTCTTAATTTTGTTCTCTCTGCTGTGGACACATGGTCCAGTGGATAAAAGCATTGTCTGAGTGATCCAAAAAATGACTTGACCCAAACAAAGAGTTGTGAGTTCAATCCCTGGCCAAAGTAGAAGGAACAAAACTTGGAGAGTTGAGTTACTAAGTGGAATTAACTGAAACAGATATCCAAAGGCATGGCATGTGTAATTAAAACAATCTACCCCCCATTGGACTCAGTTTGAAATTTCATTGTATATCACCTGAAGAAGTCTGGAGTGTATAACGAACGAAACGTTAATATGGCAGTAAAGATGAAGACAACAGTGTAAATATTTACACTACCTCATCTCAGAAATATAGACAGATATAGAAGTATGTGAATTTCTATTTTTCCTGTTTTTTCTTTTAGATGAAGCATTCTCAACTATTATTAATTTCTGTCTTTTATCTTAATTTGACTTGCTTTGTTTACAATAGTAGTATTAAAAGACATAGCAAAAAGACAAACTTGAATAAAGGCTTCAAAAGGAAGTTGTGGAGAGTCATGATTGTCAACATTCAGGAGGCATACAGCACATAGAAGTATTGATATTAGTCAATTATTAAAATCATGAAAATGTATGGTTAATGAATGATTATAGTTAATGATATATCAGTGTTCTTTTTATAATTCTTTTTTATGTAGCTTTATTCAAATTTGATTAATAATTTGTTGTCTTGTATCCTCAGCTTTATTATTCTCATCACCATTCTGCTATGAATAATGATGTCAAACTTCAAATAAAGCAGGTGAATTAAAGTTTAATTTTCACTTAAGTAAATGTGTTGGGATCCATCTACCCAGATTTTTATTGCTATAACAATAGCAACACATCTTTTAAATGAGAGATAAAAAGGTTTATTTTCTGAAGGAAAAGTAGAAGCAGAACCTCAGTTGAAATAAAATTTATATATTCTTTTCAGAAATATACAATAACAATAAAATGTTCAATTTTCCTTGCTGTGTAGTTTATTTTATAAAGTAATTAAGTGTTCTTAGTTTGGTGTTAAATGTGTTAACAAACTTACTTTATGACAGTCAGCCTAATGTGCTTGGGAGTTTGTAGACAAAGGCTTAGTAGATAGTTGCTGATTAATCCCTTCTATTGTGTGTGTGGTCAAGGCCATAGTTGATGGCTGCAGGCTGTCTCTCTTCCATTGTGTGCATATGTAGATCAAGCTGGCCTCTGTAATTGTTTTGAGTCTCTAATATTCATAAAGGGATTTAAAATCTAATTTCACATAGAGGTGTGAACTTTTTGGATAGAAGGTTTTCACTAGTTAGAAAATAATTTCATGTTGGATTGCAAAAATCTTTTTCTCGAATTTGCAGGAGTGGTGAAGGGAGTTATTATTGTTATTTTCTAAATGGTCCAAAAATGACATGTGGTAGGTCTACAACTATGTCTGCAAATATTTTGGTGGTATTTGTTTATCTAACAAACCTTCTGGTGGGATTATATTGGTTGAAAACTATATATAGGAATTAATTCTTATAAATGAGTTAACTTCAGAAATAGGTTTTATTGCAATGAAAAGTTTTAAATTCACAATCTGATGTTTAATAGACGATAGGTGAACCTATCTACTCCTTTTTGTTTTGTTCTTAGATTTTGAATTCTTTGTATTTTCTGGATAATTCTAAACACTTCAAATACCTTGGTGTATGGATCAGTTATAACAAATTTAGTATAGAAGGAAAGGAAATTGAACATAGAATAGGCTGCACTAGAGGTAGTTCTGCCCAACACTGTAAACTGTTACAAAGCCAAAACATTAGCCTGAAAACTTTAATAATGATCTTAAATAACATCATCAGATCGAGATTTTCATATGGATGTCATGAATGACACCAATCCTGTTCAGAAATATCTAAACTGTCAGCTGTATTCAAACACTTACTCAGATCAGTGGTTAAAAATGGGTTTGGGTGAGTGAAGCTTGTGGGTCTGTATAAAGACCACCCTTCTTTGAACATTGTGAATTGGTGCTACAGAATCACAAAGAATTGTACCAAATGACAAAAAACCATATCACCTGATGACTATCAACATCAACAACTAAAATGAAATTTAAAAAAAAGAAGAAGAATTACTCTTACAATTTGAAATATGTTTCAGCTTTAAATATAACCCACAAAGGATTGATGAGTTGTAAAAAAAAAAAAAAAACTAATCAAACAATACTCCACTGGACATAGCTATATAGAGCTGACCATGAGAGAAACATATGAATCATTTTCTAATTGGTAATACTAATAAAAATTAATTCTGCAAACTTACCATTTTTCTGCTTGTTTAAATAATTTGGTGCATTTAAGAAAATCTAATTAAACAGATTATTTTGACTAATTTAAATAATTCTATAATCTTTAGCACTTTGTTCAACTAATTTGTCATAATGTGAAATTGCAAATGACAACAAGGCTTATTATGAATGCTATAGATTTTCTAACTTACAACTGACCAATGCAGAAATAAATTCTTTTTATACAAACATGATGTATTTAAAAATAAAATTTTGCTGACAGCAACCTTGCTTATATATGGCAATTTTAAAAATTTATATTAATAATAACACAGAATAAATATTTATCAAAATATGCTTTTAAAAACTGTTATGCAAATTAAATGTTACCGCTTATGTCGTAAATGTCATTTAGTAATATAGATAAAAAGATGGCAAATTTTCATTGCCTGTTAACAATATGGGTTGTTTTTTTTTGTTTTTAATATACTGATTCACTGAATACAAGGCTCAACAGCCATTTAAGGTACAGGGTTAATAAATCAGGTTGTTTTAAAGGAAGGATAAATAGAAATGCATATTATAAAGAAAAGTAGGATAGATATCAGTTGAGACTGGACTTGAAGAATTCAAGATTGTAGTTGTCAAGGAAGCATTTTCTTGGGAGTCTGTTCTGGGGAAGAAGCTGTCTCAGTGGAAATTACTCCTTATGAAAAGAACATGAAGGAAATGGGGGATGGTTTGCCACTGTGAACATGTGGAACTAAAGATTGTAACTCATCTCCAAGTCTGCTACAGTAATAGTGATAGAGTAGTGAGAAGCTAACAGTGTTTCATCTGTCAGATAAGTGTTGCATGGTGAGGAATAATTCATAACCCACAAGGGCGTTTTGTTCTACAGATCTAAGGTGGGGGACAAAATTTAGCCTTATGTGGATTTATAAAACATTGTTTCTATCCTTTATTTTATTTGAACACCATTTCTATATAGTGATTTTCTAAGACTATTGCTTAGATGTGTCACAAGGCCAAAAGTATGGGGTGCCACACCATTTCTATACGGATTGACTGTATATAATATTTGAGGCTTATGGCCATGTCATGTTGAAACACCAGTTCCTGTACGATCACCAAAGGTAAGCAATGTTGAACTTGGTCAGTACTAGACAGGTGACTGCTTGAGAATACCAGGTTCTGTAAGCTTGGATGTGCAGATGGTCTAATGGATAATGGTTTGGAATTGTCAATCGGAGAGCTGAGTTCTAATTCCAGTTGGGTTTGTTATCTTCACTTACACACAAATACCCTTGGGAAAGGTATGGATCTGCTTCTTCTCATCCCAGTTATGAGTTAATTAGTAATACTTGTATCACCAAGTCATTATTATCACAAAAAAAATTTCTTACAATGTAAAAATAATCTGCAAAAAGTTGATAAGCCATAGAAAATGAATCAATCAATGAAATACTGATTGGCTACACAGGCATATCTTTTAGATTTATTTACATTCTCTAGGATATAAGTGTAAAGAAGCTAACATGGCCACAAAGTGAGAGTCAGTTTATATATTGATTGTAATGTAATCCCCTACTTTATATCCACATTATAAAGCCATAAAAAATGAATGAATCAATCACATGTGTGAAAATTTCAGATAGAGTATACCTGTAAAGGGACAATATGAAAAAATACAAAAAGAAAACTTATCTCAGCTGACATGTTTTGGCCTCTGAGGGAATTTATGAAGTCAAATCTAAGATTTTATTTTGTGACAAGTATTTATATACAAGAGCAAAAATGTTATTGGTTTTTTAAAAATCTTTGGTATCTTTGCTCATGAATATTCATCAGGTTGGCAGAAAAGTCAGGCAAGTTCATAGACGTTGAGTGATACAGTTGAATGTCTAATAAATGAATGTGAGCAGGAGGTATTTTTTTGAAAAACTAATAACATTTTATATTTTTTTTTTTCAGTCATGTGTATATTTGATAAATCTTTTTTTGATTGCTTTCTAAATTAATTCTCTTTTTCCCCCCCTCTATTCTATGTTTACATAACGTTGCTACGAACTGGTGACAGTAGTTTATACTGCTGTGACTAGTTGTTTAAAACACTCTCAAAAGAAATTAATCTTTAGATGACACATATTCACATTTGAAAGGATTGATATAATTATTGGTTAATTCCATAATGTTTCACTAATAAAATTTGGCAGAAGATGGTCATAAAGATTCCAAGAAATTATATTTAATCATAAAACTATGAATAATTGTAAGCAGGAAATGATCAACATGAGGATAGGATATATAAACAGTTGTACTCAAAACCAATCAAATAATCTATTAAGACCATTTCACCCCATGCAAGGCAATGAAACCACTAAGACACAATGGTTTACTGAGTGTGGAAGAACAAGAAAAAAGAGAAACATTAGCGAATGAGAAGAATAGAAGAGTAATCAAGACAGTAGATAGTGATTGACATTGCATTTAAATTTCTGAAGGTCAAAGTTGGCTGAAAAGCATGATGTCAGAAGGGAGTTCCAAAAATGAGAAGTGCGAGAAAATAAACTGTTAGAATAGAATGTATGGTTAAATCTAGCCAATTCAGCTGTGAACTGATGAGACCTAGCTGCCAATGTAGTACTGCATTAAAATTCATAAAGTCTAAGTACTATAGTGAAGAGTGCATCTGAACAATTACCATGAAAGTATTTATAGAAAAAGCACAGGAAAGCTACATTACAGTGGTGAGAAAGTGACTGAAGCTGAGATGTCAGCTCAGGACAAATAATATTGCTGATTCTTCTTTGTATTTGATCATGAATTGCTAAATATACAGTGGGAACACTGAGCCAGATGTGGTAGCAGTGTTCAAAACATGGACCAACAGTCGACTTATAAATATGCAAGATAGATTCTGGAGAGAAAAAGTGTCAAGAATGACACAATAACCCAACTTTCTAAGCAGCAAACCTAGCAATGGATTCAATATAATCTTTCCACTGTTGAACCGAGAAGATGCGATGAGTCTTTCTCATGGAGGTTAGCATCAGCCATGCTGATGAGAGGAAGGAAGGAAGGGCTCTTTCAGGTGATTAATATAAAGAAGTTTCATTTTGGAGACATTAAATTTAACAAGCCACTTCTTGCTCCTGTTAACAACAAACTGTAGGTGATTTTTTTAGATCACATGACAATGATGATTATGATGATATTAAAGTGATAGTAAAAAGTTTTAAATCTCTGCTTAAAATCATTAATTTTACTCATATTTTTTCATCCACAGCTACAGGTAAAATAGTAAGGTAGACGAGGCTATTTAGCCTTTGTAGTGTAATCAATGAAAAAGACAACCCTGAATTCAAAACTATTGAGAAAGTATTAGGGGAAAACCACTTTACTGACTTTCCCTAGAAAAACCATAGCAATTCACAGATGTAAAAGTAAAAGGAAACTGTAGAGAGCTATGATCAGAAAGAGACATAACATTTAAAAACATTATAAAAAATTCCATTTGATGTTTGAGACTTTCCTGATACAGTAAGTCCTATGTTACAACAGTCCCAACTTACAATGATTTGCAGTTACAATTCAATCTTTATTATTCTTGTTTCCTAGCTGTATGCCATATTAGATTGTACATTTGCTCTCTTTTGTTTGTGCTGTGTTTGTGGAAACTTATTTCTTTTCATTATGGCTTTCAAGCATGTAACCTCTTCTGAGTGTGGTGCTTCAAAGAAAAGGAAAGCCATCACCATGGAAGTGAAATTACAGGTACATTCTAACTTACATAGAAAATCTCATCATGACGCATTGTAGGAATAGAATTCTGTCATAAGTCGAGGACCTGTATAAGCTATGGCTTTATTATTTGTATCAATGAAAAGGTGTGGCAGGGAGCCATGGTTACTTATGTCTTAAAGGGAAATAGCATTTAAAGAGAGAGAAGTGTTTATTTAGGTTGTTTGGAAAGTAATTGTTTAAAGTGAAAAAAATCCAATCATAATGATTTCTCAAAAAATATCTGATCATCTGAAATTACCAAAGAGTCAATATGAAACATTTTTTTTTATTTCCATATGAGAAATGTTTGCTGTGCAGGATAAACATAATACTGAAATAAACATTTTCATAATTTCAAGATTTTATCTTGATGTACTTCACTGATTGGCACAAATTAAAAGTGTGAAATCGAGTGAGTAGGAAGGATCAAGTTGAACCTCTGTACACAGAAATTGGATTTTCTATGTTTGTTCTGCTAAACAGAGTTTTGTTTTCTCTGTGATAGTTACCAATTCTGTTGACAAAATGTGGATGTTTTTTATGTTTTAATTCACTTTATTAAATATTTCAATTTCTTTTTTTAAAAGCTTCTTAAATGAAGCATTTTATTTAATTTATTACTGTCTTTATTTCATCTTATTATTATCACTGTTAGTCTCAGAATTCTGGGTTGATAAACTTTGCCCAACAGAATAAACAGTGCAAAATTAGTAGCTTTCAATGGAACTTGGAGTCATATCCAATACCTTGGTAGTTCAACTTTCAGAAGTGTTAATATAATTCAGCCATGAAAGCTTCAAGGATTAAGTGGATCATAATATCTAGTCATTCTGTAATCTGTGAGAGCTATGATCAGAAAGGAACATGACATTTAAAAATGTTATAAAAGAATTCCATTTTCGGATTGTTCTAAAAAGCAACAATAATATGATAGAATAAGACTAGTAATAAGAGAATAGTCATAATGAAGAGTTTATCAATCCAGGAGTATTGGGTTATAAATTGTTCTTTTTTTCTTTTCTTGTTTTTTATCTCGTTCCAATTTCTTTTCCAGATTTATGATGCTGGGGATTTTACATTATTGTGCTCTGAATCAAACCGCTGTGGTGAGAGGTGGATTGGTGGTGACTTCATTTCCGTGGACAAAGTGGTTGTCTGGAGTAATGAGGGAAAAGGTTATCTCTTTAAACTACCCACAAAGTAAGTTTAATTTACAGATTTGCTTCTAGATTTGAATGTTTAAAAATTCTATTTAATAATTTTATTCTGTTTTAGGGTTTTAAGAAAATCTTTTGTTTTTAGCTTGGATTTCATGCAAATTCAAAGACCTTATTTTTATTTTGAAAGAGAAATGTTCATGTTGTCAGAGTCATAAAAAACCTTTTAGCTTCATACTGGCATTTTCAGGAAAAGTTACATTTCTAATTTAAATACGCATGTATCATATACAAATCATATTATGTGTAGAACAGTTTCATAGGGTTTGATAGCACTAGACGATAACATTTATTTTTTACCATTTCACTCTGCAAGGTAATAAAGCCACTAAGATGCAAGAGGCTGCTAAGTGTGAAAAAAATTGCATATGGGAATTTTCTGACTTTAATGCATTAGTTGTTCACCATAAGACTGACTAAAAGATTACAGTTTTCATTAAAGGAGAAATTAATTTATTGAAGATGAAATGTTTAGAAATTGCACTAATTTCTGGGTTTTTTCATAGTAAATTTCCATTCAGGTTCAGACAGGATATCACCTTTTAAATGAGATTAGCTAGATTGTGCATCTTGGCACATTGAACACCACAAAGTTGAAATTTAAATTAAAAGTTAAGCATTCCTGCATCATTAGTGTTTCTCTTGATGCATAATTATAACAAATGTTTTTCATACCTACTCCTGTATATATTTTTTTAATCATTTCAAGTAAGGCAATAAAGCCACTAACATGCAAGGGGATACTGAGAGTGAAAGAATCTGAGAAAACAAAAACATTATTGAGAGAAGACAACAAAAGAACTGGAATTAAGATAAAAGATAACGATTGACATTGTATTTCAATTTTTGAAGATCAAAGTTAACTGGAAAGCAAGAAGCCAGAAGAGAGTTCCACAAGTGAGAATTTTTTTATTTTTTTAACAATGATGTTTACTCTGTACAAGGCCCAAGAGCCACTTGAGGTAGAGTGTTATAGAATAAGAGGCACAGTTTATGGGGATGTGTGGGGAAGATAACAGCTGACCCTAGACTTGAACAGGTTAAGATTGTAGTGATTGGGAAAACATCCTCTTAGGAGTCAGTTCCACAAGACAGCAATATAAGAGAAGAAACTGTATGCATAGAACTTGCATCTTGCCATTTCAGTTGAAAAATGATGAGACCTTCCTGCAAATCTAGTCTTCTGCTTAAATTCATAAAGTATGAAAATTTTAAACTTTTGTAATATGTAAAAAATTCTTTCATCATATTTTTTTTGTTCTTCTTGTTAATTAGAAATTAAGAAAGAAAATTATTAGACAAAATTAAAAATGAATAATAACTGGCAACGCATCATCTATAAAGAAAAAAGAGGCTTCTGGCTATATCACATTGAAACACTAGTTCTCGTATGATCACTGAAGTTAAGCAACGTTGAGCCTGGTCATTAGATGGGTGACCACTTGGGATTACCAGGTGCTGTAAGCTTGGACATGTGGGTAGCATAATGGAGAGTGGCTCAGAATTGGTTCTCGGCATGCCAAGTTTCAATTCTAGTTGAGGCATGGTGGAATAATGGATAGTGGTTTGGTTTGGGGAATTGGAGATTTGAGTTTGAATTCCAGCTGAGTTCCTTACATTCATTTACATGCTAATATCCTTGAGAAAGGTATGAATCCATCTCTTCTACCTCCAGCTATGGGTAAAGTAGCAGAACAGACTAGGCTCTATAGCCTTGGTTGGCTACTAGTCTGGTAGAAGGAAAACCGACCTTGAGAGTTTTGGGATTTGTCAAGCTATCTTGCCTAGGAAATACCACAGCTACTGTAGCTGCATACATGTGGTGCACTTATGACCCTAATGGGTTTACAGAGTTTGTTATTAGGAATATGTAAAATTTTGGTACCAAATGAATGAACATTTTAAACTTGTAATTGTATATGCTATGTAAAATAAGGATGTTTATATTCAAAATAAAATTCAAAGAAGAATCTGCAATGTTATTTGTTCTGACACCTTAGCTTCAGTCTCTTTCTCACCATTGTAACATAGCTTCCCTGTGTGTTTTTTATAAATATTTTCATGGTGATTGTTCTGATGAGCTTTCCTCTTTGGTACCTTGACTTTACAAAACACTTTGGCCTGGAAAATCGAAGAGCCGAGTTCAAATTCCAGTTGGGTTTATTACATTCACTTCCATGCTAATATCCTCAGGAAAGGTATGAATCCATCTCTTCTTAGCTGTGGGTTGAATAGGACAACAAGCTATAGCATTAGTTGACAACCAGTCTACCACAAAAAGAAACAACGACTTACTGGGAGAAAATCTTTTGCCTACACAGTCACAAATTGAAAGAGACACGATCATCCGAACATGTATCACTTAACTGACTAGTCATTTTTACATTTGAAATGGCCAAATGTAACTAAGTTCTATGTTACTATTTTCTTCTCTTACACTTCTCACTTGTGGAACTCCCTTCAGGCCTCTTGCTTTCTAATCAATTTTGATTTTCCAAAAATGAAATGCAGTGTTAATTGTTATCTTCTTAAATCTTGTTCTTTTATTGTTCTTTCTCCTTAATGTTTTTTTTTTCAAATTATTTCTTGCATTTTAGTGGGAGAAGTATTAATATAAGACTAGAAAAACCCGTAAAAATATCACAGTTTTCCAATTTTAATATTCTGATGAATCTTAAATTAATTATTGAGTAAGCTTATGGTGAATTCTACAATAAAATATCAATAGAAATTCCTCTATCACATTGTTGAATATTTAAGCTTAACAACTTTAACAAAATATGGTGAAAACAATCATAAGTATGAATCCTGGTCATTATTTACATGAGCTTACGCAATCATTAACTTAATTCTTAAGGTTCATCAAAAAATTAAAATAGAAAAACTGGAAATATCATGTGTCTTTCTAGTTTTGTTAAAGTTGTTAAGCTCAAATATTTAATGATTCAGTAGGAGAATTTCTACAGATATTATATTGTCGTAGAACTCATAGACCTGCTACTGGTAACATGTAACCCAATACAACCTGTTCCATGGACAGGTGGTTGGTGTCTAAACCAACTTCCCTACAAGTCTTACTGTTAGTGAGGAGGGTGGCATGTCACCACCACAGGATGAAAAACAAAACCAGTGGATAAGCTTCTTATACAAGCCAATGGCTAAACTCACGCACACACACACACACACATTATCCCTCACTGACTTGGAGTTTCATGCACAATGCAATCTTCAGGTGCTGAGTATAGAATAGCCATTGTATAATTTAAGTTTAAAAAAATATATCTAGTTATCGCAATGTTAGTGTAGTTATATATTATACTGGGATTACAGTTTTTTAATTTTATTTTATATATATATATATATATATATATATATAAGGCTAGGATGAATCTCAAGCCTTGGATAATGGTGTCTGGATAAAAACACTCGGTGTACTTGAACTGCTATGAGTGTCTGAGTTGGAGATCAGAAAGTGCACCCAGCCTTGTAAAAAAAAAAACCTTGCCTGAAATCATTATGAGAAATCCTCTATCAGGCTGGATTCGCCTTACTTTGTGCAAGATTAATCTTGGTCTTGCCTCAGCAAAAAAACAAAAACCCGGCTTTATATGTATGTATGTATGTATGTACATACATACCAGCCTAACTGCTAAAAAGATTAATCTTTGTTTCTTTTGAATTATAGAAGTTTATTTATTCACTGAAGGAAAAACTTGATTTTACAGCAATCAATGGGAGCTATTAACATTGTTATTGAACAATTAGCAAATGCATTTTTTTTCTTAATTATATTTATCAGTAATTTTGTTTTAAAATGCTTCGTTCTCTATTCAAGTCACCTGTATATATTGAATTTTGATTAGAACTTATGAAAAAAAAAAAAAGAATTACATTAATTGATGTTTTCACTTTTATAAATTTGTGCATTTACAGTTTTTTTTCTAAACAATGCATATTTCTACTTAACATGTTTGTTCTTGCTTAACACAATTTTTTAAAAATATTTTCTTTTTATAAATTCATCATCAAATTCTTATACTTTTTTTAAAGTTAAGAGCCATTCACATCAGACAATGGAAAAAAGATCAATGTTTTTCTGAATATTGTGTTTCTTAATCAGAATTGAGTTAAAAAAATAAATGAACAGTCATAATTTACACTGTTTGCAAAACAATATTTTAATGCATTTTATCTACAACAGTCTGTTCTGTTCATACCCTTCTTTTTCTCTCAGTCTGTTCCTGTCTATTTCAATCTATTCATATCTGTCAGTCTATTTGACACTATTCTGTTTGTATCTGCCTGTCTCAGTTTGTCTATACTTGTCTGTCTCGGTTCATCTGTATGTGACTGTATCGGCTCATCTGTACCAGTCTGTCTCAGTCCATCTTTATCTGTCTGTCTGCTTCTCTCTCAATTTGTTTATACCTTCCTATTCTGGTTCATCTGCATCTGTCTTTTCATAATTCTTTTGTGAAAGTTAGCTAAAGCATGGTTGGTTCAAGTATGTTTACAGATTTCAGCCAAATAAATTCATGGAGATTTTTCTTGCCAAAATCTATCTTATGCATTTATAAGCCTACCATTCGTCCATGCATGAAATATTGTGGTCACATCTGTTCTAGTGCTGCTGCTATGTATTTAGAGATTCTTGATAAAATACAAAGAAGGATCTGCAATATTTATCAGTCCTTTACCTGATATTTTGGCTTTAGTCACTGCTGTAATGTACCTTCCCAGTGCCTTTTCTGGAAATGTTTTCATTCTATTTGTTTATTTGTTCTGATGACCTTTCCTCTTTGGTACCTAAACTTTACAAATTTAAGTGCAATACTAGATTGGCAGCTAGGTCTCATAATTTCACTGTTGAAATTGCTTGTGGTAATCATAAGTTTTATGCTAATATTTTCTTCTTTTGCACTTACCACTTGTACATTTCTCTTCTGGCTTCCTGCTTTCCTTTTAACTATCACCCTCCCTCACCAGCCTCTGCCAAAATAAAATCAAATATTTCAGAGTCTAAATTTTGGCTGATTTTCAAATTATTACTACAAGAAAAGAATGTTGATTCTTCCTTTAAAGAAAGTTTATATAGTTTGGCAGCCAAGTTCTATGCTAACGGTTTCTTCTCTTACACTTCTCTCTTTTGAAACTTTCTTCTAACATCTTGCATTCCAGTTAACTTTGATCTTCAAACATTTAAATACAATGTCAATTATTACCTTTTATAATTCTCTTTCCTTAATAACGGTTTTATTTTTCTCTTATTATTTCCCCCACTCAGTAACCCCTTGCATCTTGGTTATATTGCCTTGTTTGGGGTGAAATGATTACAAAAAATGTTTTGCAACAACTTAATAGGATTCATTTATATTGTTTAATTTAATTAAATTCTGATTACGAACAACATGATATTCGTTTTTTGTAATTGAACTCCTCGTCACTTTCATTTGGTGTTGGGTCACTTTGTGAATGTTTGTTGATTGTGGATTTAGAAGTTATAAAGCAATTTCACAAGCAGACGTGCTTGCTGCATGACAAGTGTTTTGCAAATTGGAATGGAAGTTGCAGGTGTGAAGGCATGTATTATAATGGCTGCTTCATTTGGCACTGTTATCCATAATAAAAGGAGTTTGTAAATAACATCACATGCACTTATGCATAAACTTGCACAATACATACAAATATGAATAAGTGTGCCTGATATACATGGGTTGCTCCAAAAGTATTGCCTCACAACCTAATACTAGTGGTATAGTAGTAGAGGTTGAACCTTCCCACCAATAAACCATAATTTTTTTTTTACTTTCCTATAGATAACATCTGAATGATAATTTGGCAAAATGGTATCTGACATAAAAGTGTGATGTGTCACTTAATTCTTTCATGTGAAAAAATATTTATTAATTCTTGTTTACAGAGACCAAACAGTGGATGTGAACACAGTCAGTTGGCGAGTAATCTGTTTCATTAAAAAACTTGGTCTCTTATATGCGTTACTTTTTTTTTTTTTTTTGTTGTTGTAACAAACACATCATACAGGCTTTTGTTCATCATTGATAAAAATGCATATCCAGTGGTGATGAATATGGTGTTTTTACACTCTCAGTATTTTTTATATTTTTTAAATCATTTCACCCCAAGCAAGGTGGTAAAGCCACTAAGATGCAGGGAATTACCAACAGTGAAAGAAACTGAGAAAACATTGAATAGAGAGGGTACATTAAAAGGATTGAAAGAGTTGTGGAAAATAAATAAGAGGCATTATTTTTGGATCATCCTTCATGCAATATATGCATCCGCACATAGATATAATAAATGCATACATCTAACAGATACATATTTAATATCTTGAATGCAATGGTTGATCACTTATTACAATGGATAGGTATTCTTATTTTTAGACAGAAAAGCAAATATATTTCTAATAGGCAATTTTAATTTTTGTAAGTAAGATTATACACA